GCTTTCTATTAAATCTGAATTTTTAAGTCCTTTGTAATCAAGATTATGGGTGTGGTGCAGGCAAAATGGTAAGGTTGCTGAAGCTTGTCTTTGTATCACCATCTTCCCTCCACTCACCTTCAGCTGGTCCTCCTTTCACTCTGGCATGCTCCACTCACCCAGCTGCAGTTTTAAAAATCAATAATAGCTCTTTATTGCGTGCCTCTATCTCCTCCCAGCCTCTCCCTGATATGACCCACAAGGTTCTTTCATTCCTCAGAAGCCTCTTTATGTTCCTGAATTCTCTTGGACTATGTTCTACCAGAGGAGCCAAGCACTCCAGCCACTTACATTGTGATGCAGTAGCAATGTGTTATTCCTTTAAATGAACTTCTCTTCAGAAGTTTTCCAAAAAGAGTTCATAATCCAAAGGAATATCTGTGATTACACAAATTCTACAAAATCCCTGCTGTGTTGGTCAGGAGATGCTTTGGGGAGGAGACTCTCAGTATGTCTCAGGTCACGGTGTTCTGACCTGGCTGCAAGTCAGTGAGAAGCCTGGCTCTTCCTTGAGGAAGACATTTTATTATTTTTGAAAAGGTTGGGATTGAGAGACAAATTCTCTGTCAGCAAAATATCATGATTCTTGAACATTTGTCTACTTACTAGTTTTTTAAAAAATATAATATACTTTAGTTCCTGCTGCCCTGGTTTCCTTTTCTATTCCTTCTTTGCATAGGAGGCACACAGTTGCTGTGTGTCCCTTGGATCACCGCCTACTGTGTTGTGCACTCCCTTCTGCCCCCACCCCAAAAGCCACCAGAGGTGTTGTTAGTGATTATTTCTCCAGAAATGTCTTGAAGGGAATATAAAAACCCTATGATAAGAATACTGTTACTTCCTGGACGGAGGGAAGAATTTGGAAGGATTGGGGAGAGGTTCAAGGTTGGAGGGCAAAATGCATTCTGTCTTTTATCTCCTCTATGAAATCACAGGTAAAGCATCTTCCTGAGTGCAAAGATCGGGCACATCAATGAAATGTGTCCCAACTTTGTATAGCATTAAACCTCTAAATATGGAGCATCCATATTAAATAGAGTGTACTTTATTCAGAAATGAAATATGAGTCTAAGTAAAAGAGTTTGAACACTACTTGAAGAGGGGTATGTAAGAAACATTCTTCAATTTTTGTGTTCCTTTTGATCCCTTTAGAAATAGCTAAATAGCTAATCAACAGATTTACTCCCATCTTTTCCATTTCCTTCCTTTTTCACCTTTATTTCTTTTGTCTTTCCTTCATCTTTTCTGCTCCATCTCTTTATTTTCAGTTGTAAATTTTTTTTAACATTTTTTATTGATTTATAATCATTTTACAATGTTGTGTCAAATTCCAGTGTTGAGCTTATTTCTAAATAATTGATGATTTATGCTATAGACAGTATGGTCATAGAAGAGTTTCTATGATTATTTTTGTTGTTAATCACTATAATTACTCTTTGATTACAATGATGATTAACTCGCAGCCAGTAAAGCATGTGCTTATCTTGTGTATCTAGCATTTGTGAAGGATTTGTGTTCATCCAGCCACACATTCTCACCTTACCCTTATGTAACTGTGAGATTCTAGTTTGTGTAGCCTATGGCCACAGAGTGACTCACATACAGAAGAATAAAGCCTGCAGTTTCCCATACATTAACACTAGGCCAATAACCCTTTAAACTCCCTCGGTCAGTGATCACTGGTATTCTAAAGCTTCTGAAACTAGAATTCTAGTATTCTAAAACTGAGTATGTTTGCATACATACTTCTCTTAATAAACACTGTGTGTGCTTTTTTTTCATGACTTTCCTAAGGGGTCAGTTCAAGCCATTTTTCATATTTCAGGCTATACTATTTAGTGCCTGAAACCTCAGGAGAACTTGAGAATGATTTTTGCCTTATCATTAGTATTGCGTGAACCTTATCATTTGCCAACCTACATAAAAAGAATGAAAAGTAATGAACTACTTAGGCAAAACTATATCAGACAGTAAATAAAAGTGGACATAGAACATCTGTAGCTGTGTCCGCATGTTCCCTTTGATCTCTCAGGGCCTGAGATTTCTAAGTGCTCATTTTCTTGCTACTGTAGAGCAGGGGAACCCACCCACTTACAGAAGGCTCCAGTGAGGACTGAACAACCTAGCGCAGAGAGCAGTTTTTCAGAGTGCGTCAGATTCATGCAGGTTCCTGGGCCCCACCTCAGGTCCATGGAGCCACAATCTCAGGGACCTGCATTTTAATTAACTCCTCCAGTGTTTCTTACGTACATTTTGTTTGCAAGCCACTGCTTTAGTGTAGAGTAAGCATAAAGTCTACCAAGTCCTAATCCTGCAACCTTACCTTTTCTCCATCATTTGTTCCTGTTCTCCTGAATCATCTTAAGTTTCATGGGACTTTTAAGTTAGTGAACACCTTTCAAAATAGTGAGAATGAGAGTTCAAAATGATATGAGTTTTCCCATTGCCTATCTTGGTTCATATTAAAATAAGCAAAAAAAAAAAGCCACATAGATTCCACCTATTGTAATGAGAAAACTGACTAAGCAACATGGGGAGCTAGTTCTCTGAAATTTCTGTGCATTTCTGAATGTCTTCATCTTCACTTATCTGAGGAGTAGCACCTATCTTTTCTTGGATGGAATATGCTCCTTGGAGTCCAGAATCTCAGCAAAACCTTTAAAATGGGCTTTGGATCCAGGGACCTCTACCTGTAGTGACAGCTGGCCCACAAACACGTGCGTATTTCAGTGACTGCCAGCAGCTGTGAGCTGAGATTCGCTGCACCCAGGACTAGCGCTTGTTCTTGATCACTTAAGAAATGTGGCTTTTCACCAAAGCGACTTTCAATCAATACAAATGTTCCTTATCACCTCAGTAATTACCTTGGTCTGCCCAGCAATCATGAAGGGCCTTCACAACACTGGCATCCCAGGCAACACGGCAGTCCACATTCCCAGCCTTTTAACCTCTCTCCATCCCCAGCTGCTGCTATTAACCTCTCTGGGATTCAGATATTTTTATCACTTCAGATTAGGGGTTCTCCGCCACGCCTGTTTCTTGTTCCAGTGTCTTTCTGACACGAACAAACATATTCACATACTGGCTTACAGCAGTGAGTGTGGTGAATTTTTTTTCTTTCATTAAAAAAGTCTCCCATTGTATGAAACTAAAAACATTAAATGACTATTAAGTCCTTTGTGTCAACTCAGCCTTAGAGAGCACACTGGAAACTTCAAAGCTATATAAATAATATCATTTTGATGGTAAGACCTTTCATGTTTTGTTGCCAGGGCACCCAAGTGGGAAAAATATGGCCAGCCAGTCAGTAATGTATTACAAAGTGATTTTGTTTTGCCCACTGATTTCATAAGTTAATACTGGTGTTAGTTTTAATACTTGGAATGCTGACATGGTGAGCTACTTACAGCAATAAGGAGAGGGCAGAGCAGGCCACTGCAGAACGGAACCCACCAGTAAGGTCCAGAGTCCTTTTGGGACTTCACACACAGCAGAGGATACGCCTTCTTATTGGATAACTGAAACTTCCTTTCCTCTGATTTACACACAGCCTAGCAAGAGTCTCATCCTTTCAGTAGCCTCTCAGAGGTTACATGACCTGTTTCCAGTTACGAAATTACTAAGCAGTGCAAACAGAGACTACAACTCAGAGTACCCTACTTCTGCTCTGGTGCTTTGTGGACAGCACTCTTCAGCTTTGAGGAGAAAACATTTATGATCCTTCAAAGGCAGACGAGGGACAAGTCATCATTCACTTTCACTAACAGTCATTTGAGATACAGGGAGATGGTTGAATTTATTTGAAAGTCCTGTGATTTTGCATATTTTGCTTTGACACCCCTGTCTTTCTCAGTTGTTAGAAATGGATATTATTTACTGATTATTTTGCTTGTAGTTGATTTGCATACTGTTATTGCGTATTGTTAAATGGTTTGCTGATTAATGACTAATGTTGATTTGGACTAAATGTAATAGAATAAGCAAATTCATTTGTAAATTTAGATATATAATTTAGTTGCTAAATGGTATCATAGAGATGTTGGAGATTATTTTAGACTAATCCCTTGCAAGGAAACCCTTTCCACAATTTCCTCCCATATCCTATATCAATGTTTTAAGCTTCCCTCTCCTTTTTTAAAAAAATGTGTTTGCATGTCTGGATTTTAAAGCAAACACTTCTCACAGGCAAATATTGCTCCAAAGCCTAGGGTTAACATAAATTATTTAAAATTCAGAACATGGTAGATATCTCCTAAACAATTCCTTTTCTAGAGGGTCAGAAAAAATTAGGTATTTAATTTGAATATATTTTCATGACCTTGACTGAATCAGTATGTTGTGGAGCATTGCCAACAAATTATATTATAACAATATAAAATATTAATATAATTAATAATTATTTGAATAAATATCAGATGCTTATATTAATACAGGTATTGAGTTAAAGAATTTCTGAACTGTTAGGAAACACTTGCTGATGAAGCTGCTAGGATCCAGAGAGGTTTAGTAATGAACACACATACATATAAGCTAGTTAGTTGTTGGGTCATTTATATGAACTGTTTAATATATTCTGCACTTGAGTATTATGCATATGCTTATGTGTTGGTATATTTGGTATTTTTAATTATTCTCTATTATTTCAAAAAAAAATTTCAACCTGAACTTTTCATTTCTCATTCATCTAAACATATATGCTGCCATTGATTATTTTTTATTTCTGCTACTTCATGTGCACCTTTAACATTTTCAGTTTGAAAATCAACTTAAATAGTAAAGAGAACCTAAATGAGAATTCACACCATAGAAATTTTAATGTGTTTATGTTTTTTTTAAACTACATTTTAATATACTCTGGTAAAGCTGTACTTCTCTAAAAGATATTACATTTTGTGACTGAATATGCTTCTCCAAAGGAATGTAATTCACATTAATTTTCATGTGCTCTTTTTTACTTATAGTGTGACAGTCCACATGTTTAAGTCTAATAGAAGGCAAAAAAATCACTGGATATGAAGTTGGGACACAGACCCAAGCCTGCATCTACATCCTCACATTGATGATCTTAGGTAACTTTCATTTTTGTACTTCTGTTTCATTTTCTTTAAAATGAGTAGTTGAAAGCTTCAAAGACTCTTGCAAAGATTCCATGAACTTAAAAGAAGATTTGATTGAAAGAAATGTGTGGGCATCATTACCTGGCTGCCCAGTATTTTCATGGATACCCACTCATTACATTTATCTGAAGTTCCTTTAAGGAAATTAACTCTTTGTCGGTGTGAGATATGGACATTGAGAGAGGTAGGGGAGGTAGGAAAAGGAAGGGGAAACAAGTTAGTGACAGAGGAGGGATGGTAGATGGTGGAAATGATTCCTCTTTTACTTCTTTGTATCTACAGTCTAGTTATTCCTATTTGAAAACCTGCTGGCACCAGGTATTATCATCAACAGGGATGAGTAATATGTAATTTTTATCTTTACTGGGTTACATTTGGCTCACAGACAGTTGACAGCTGTCAGTCAGGTGGCTGGTCAATGAGTAGATACATATAAAGCTGCCAAAATTTTTGTTTCTTTAAATACTTACAAGTAAACCATTTTAGCTGGAAACTTCTTTGTCCTGAAATTAAATAGATTGATATTCAGAATATAATTTTTTGGAATTGAGTGCCAGGAGAACCAAGATTTTCCCTATGAATATATAAGGTAAAGAAAATGTTTTTCAAATGTCTTTCTGAAATGGGAGAATAATTAATTTTTCTCCACTATAAATAAGCTCTCCTTAACACATGAACATATATTGCAAATAATACTTAAAGTACATGTGTTTTAAAATTAAACTTTTAGGGCATGTACGAGTCATTGCAACTTTAAGCCACAGTTTCTGAGTAAGACTTATTAAAAGAAACCATTCCCATACATTGAGGGAGTTGGCGTAGGTATTTTCCTGACAGGAAAGTTGAGGGTTTATCAGAAGGACAAACATGTAGCTGCATGTCGAACAAGTAATTAAAGCTTCTTCTCATAATTAAAAGAAATATCATGGAATTTTAGATTAAGCCCACAATTTAGAGCATAGTTAAACTTATAAATTTTAGTTATTTAGAAATATTTGGGCTATACCTAACATTGTTTCTTACAGGCTCAGTCACACTTAAGTAATTCATAAGAGTCATAAAAAATAGTTTGGAAGAACTTTTGTATTGCTTATACTTAATGTTAATGAAAGACAGTATTATAATTATAGCTAATTGTATTGCACATAAAAACTTAAATGTAATTTTGAAGTTGACTTAAGAGTGTATGTTCAGTTTTGCAATAATTAGTCATCTTTAAAAGCACGTGCTTTGATTCTTTAGGAATATGTATTTAACAGACAAGATAAGTAAAAAAATTATCGTTTGCATTGAGTACATACTCATTCTTTAAGAGATAATAACGTTAACTAAAAAATTCAGTGACCATGGTTACTCAAGTGCCAGAATCAATATACTGAAGATTTAAAATATCACACAAAAATAGCAGTTTGAATCACAATGTATTTCTTTTTTAAAAAAATAAGAGGTTTTAATATTCTGAACCGTATTCTACATTTAGTAATTTATTATGGAAATCAGATTTGGGTTTCAGTTTTTTAAAATATGGGTTCATTGAAATGTAGATAAGATTATGTTTCAAAAATTAGATTTTTTGGTGGGGAGATCATTTCTGGTAATTATTAAACCACAAATATTTCATAATTTTAAACAGCAATTAACTCAGTCTGATAGAGTGTGATACATATAAATTCGGGACATACCCGTATCATCATTGATTTGAAACTTGTTTTAGATACTGTGGGTATTAAAAAAATCTTACTATTTTCCCACTATGTGACTATGTATTAAGCATGCAGATTGAAAATTATTTATGAGATCATCAGAATAAGACAATTGCTTCACAGTATTCATTTATATTGGTGGGAGCATTTCTCTTCTTAAGCACCAATTCTACCCCCCACAGCCCAGAAAATTGATTTTCTGCATCATAATTTATAGCATTTTTGCTCAATGTATGCTGTGTGTCTTTTACATTCATTAGTCCATGTTGCTTGTGAATATGGATTTTGGTTATTAAAATGGTTTCATATGTTTACTATGTATAGTCCCTAGCTTTGAGCTCCTTACTTGCTTAAATAAATGTTTTCAATTTGCTATAATACAACAATTTGTAGAGAAATGCTGTGAAGCATAGTTAAAAGAATGAGTCCTTGAAATAGAATCTCTTTTTAAAAATATGTCCTAACATGTGGTCTCACTTTTCCATGTTTTGCATTAATTAAAGTCCTATTCTGAAAAAAATATTTTTGCCTAAACTTTTGAATTCACAAAATAAAAATACCAAATATATAAATGTACTAATTTTGGAAATCAGTGACGTAAAAACATGCGTTAGTACTGTATTGATTGTTCATTCCAAAGATTTTTCTCTAAAGAAACTCTTTGTAAAGTTATAAGAAAATGTTGCCACTTTCATTATTAAACATTCTGTGCAATGTTTTAAAAAAATGTATTACAATAAAATTAATTTCATATTCTCTCTAATCATATTCATTTCACATGCACACATGAAAAATACTAGCACATGAAACATTTGAAAAGAGCATGTACCATTTCACATTTTTATTTGGAGATTTATTGAAAAATAACATTTTATTTGGAATGAATAGATTATGACAGAATTAGGTAAAGGGATGAAATAGTATTTGTGTATTTATTTGGATAGTCTAATATCATATATATAATTAATTCTTCATTTTTAAGATATTGAAGATAGTGATGAAAGAGACCCACATTAAAAATATAAAGTATAACCTTTCTTTAACTCTGAAAAATTGTCAAATGGTAATAGCCCTACTTTCTACAACAGATAAACCCACTGTTGAGTTAGTTGGCTCTGATTCCAGTGGTCTCCTCAGTGTTCTGAATGTAGGTACCTCAGCAGTGCCTCTTCCAAGATAACAAAATCAACTTTTAGAGATTAAAAAATATATTTTGGCAATTGAAACTCACCAGTGCCTTTCTGCTTCTCCAGGAAGTTGTACCCGTCAGCACCTGCTGAGGGCTTTGTTGTCCAAACTCTGACAGGTAAAAAAATTCCTGTAGAATAAAGCCAGACCAGCTGGCTTTGAAGAGAAACCCCCCAGTTTGGGCTGCGTTTGCCTCCTCTCCTTTTCTATGAAGACCCAGGCTTTCCCCCCTTGATCGTCAAGCCGTAAGATGCGTGATCCCTGTGCACAAGTGTCTGGCAGGCCGAGGTGCACCTGTTCCTGTCACTCTGGGGTAAATTTAGCTGTAAAGGTATCACTGACAAGCAGACCTTTGTCAGTGCTGGCAGAAGAACACAGAATTGCTTTTCTCCCCTCCCCCCTTCCAAGCCCCTTCGCTGCCAGTTCAAATGGAAAATATCAAATCGGAAGTCTATCCAAAAATCGTTCCTAAAAAATGAGATTGCTTTCATATGGTAAAAAGTAAGTTCCCCTATTTCACACAGACTTTAAAATTACATTTCCAAGAATAATCTTGGAACAAGATGAGTTTTTGTTCAATTAATTGTGGCTGGAAACTTTTTAATGGAAACATAGCACACACTTACTTCACTCCAGGTTATTAAATTGTGTTAAGCATTAAAGTCAGTTGCCATTCTTTGCTGTAGCTCATTTGTTCTTTTCGATCCAAAGAAATATTAGAAGGTTAAAAACTTATCACATAGGAGGGATTAATCATGCTACCAAAATTAGAAAGCGTGTAGTTCTGAGAGACTCAATGTCCAAATTGTATGCTCATGGCACTTACACTGTTGAGAATGGAGGATCCCAGTACAACATTTAAAATGGCAGCTGATGTCTGTGGAAGCCCTGGGTGTTTAGGAGTGGGCCGAAGCTAGAGTTCTCTTACTCTCTGGTTAAGGTAAGGACGTTTATCACTTATGTGAATTTTTTAGATTGATTTCTTTCTTGATAGTTTGAGAACATTTCCTTTTGAAGGAAAAGAGAGAGGCAGGCAGTGTTCATTGATACATCTGACATAAATATAGTAGTCAAGATATATAAAGCAGCACAAGAAGTAATGTGCTTAGCCTCGGCATTCTGAGTTTCTACTTTAATAATTATGTTTTCTTAAGTGGTGTTAAAAAGAGTTGTGCAGAATACCTGTTCTACCATATTATTGCTGTTTACAGCCGTTGGGTGTGATGAGGAAAAGAAATCTGGGTCAAAATAAAAAATGCTTTGTAAAATAAACAAAGTTCCTATTTACTTACTATGTATAAACAGCCACTCACTAAGCCTCATTTCTCCACAGGGCACCACTTTCAGATAAAAACATAGACCTGAATGGCATCATCCAGTATCCAAGGAAACCATGTAAGTACCTCTCTCACTGTGTACTTCTCTTATTCAGAGTTTAAAAGCTAGCTGAGTACTGAATAAGTGAGTGTTTTTATTTAATAATTATACGGGAGGTACTTTTTAGGAGCTTGCTAAAAAGAAACAGGTTCTTTGTTATGTGCATCATAACAAAACCCTTATGTTTTTCATCATATTTCATAAAATTATGTGTTTAGTCCCAATCTCTCCACCAATTCTCATCCTAAGTTACAAACGGCTACTCAAAGTCCTAATGAATTGGGAGTTTCAAACTTTTCTAAAACTCATTAGTGTCTGAGAAACAGTGTTTCAGAGGCCTTGTGCCAGGAGCAGTTACCTAATTGTAATGAAACTTTTTCAATTTTAAAAATGAAGAAAAAAATTGCTTGGAAAGTAATACTTTATTGGTAAACATTTATAGCAATTTATTTCTTTTTAGACTTTACTTGGGGAGTAAGCAAGTGAGCAGAGATGAGGTTAAGTATTTAGACAGCACAAAGAATTTTGAAAAAAGTATAATTTCAGAGATTCAAAAATCTGTTTGCATAAAGTTTCGGGAGGTTGGCATATTATTTTCATTCAGTCTTTCTTTGATAAAGATTATATCACTCAGTGTCTCTGCTAAATTAAACCCTTTACTTGGTAGAAGGACCTGGCTAGGCTGTGAGGTTTTTTTTTGATGCTAGTTACAAACTTCGTAAGTGTGGAGTTGGAGGCCTGAAGTGCTGCCCTCTAAACTAGAAATTCCTCGCCACAAAATAAAGGTTGGACCATTGCTGGGTAAACTTGGAAGCAGAGCAGGGTTAGAATAGACGGTTACAAAGAAAGAAAATGCAAAGTGAAAGAGAAGACTAGTTAATGTTATACTTCTGGATCTTGAGGAAACGGAATTTTTAAAAATCCCATTCTCCTTGTAGCATGAAGAAAAAGGAAATCTACACTGCAATTCTTGTAGCAGAATTTTAAGTGTTTATATTGGAATATAGAGTTTTCTGGAAAGATCATTTAAATTCAGTCAGTTTAATTCAACCTCTTATACCAAAGGAAAAAATGACTTGATAGAAAGAAATTGATATCTGCACATCAGTTCACCAGTGGTGGTCTCTCTAACAAAGACCATCATTATTCAATAGAACTTTCTATGATGATGAACATGTTCTGTATCTGCACTGTCCAGTGTCAACACATGTGTCTGTTGAGGAGTTGAAATGTGGCTTGTGTGATGGAGTAACTGAGTTTTGAGTTTTATTTAATTGGTTTAAATTTATATAGGCCAAATAAAAAAGTATATATATAAAATTTACATAGGCCATATGTGACCTACTACACTATTATTTTGTTCTTATCAGAAATTAAAATACTCTCTTGCAAAGACTTTTTAATCCTTTGTAGATTAAACTATCAATTTTTATATTAAAGCAAAAATATTGTTGGCATTGAAATTTTTTGTAGCATTTCCCAGAGATGAAAATTTTTAATATGGTTAGTGGGAAGACATTATAATACTGTTTTATAAGCCTAGGGTAGCAACTTTTAAAATGGTCATTGCAAGCAAGACTGTCTGTAAAAAGAAAAACACCTTAATGGGAGTTCTAACTATAATCATAAATATTTTGAAAAATGCAGTTAGAATTTCTGCAGTATGTAGTACATCCTTACAAATGCTTCTGAAAATGTAACCAGCCTATGTAAATGCCCACTGGCCTTGATTCTCCAAAGTTGATTCTGTTCCCAAAGTACATCTCAGGTTTTAAATCTGCTCCCATGGGCTTTTTTGCATTCAATGAAAATGAACTTTAGGGTGCATGTTGATATTTTAATAATAGTATTAGTACAGTAATATTATAGACAGAATAATTACCTAAAAATACAGAGAATTTTAAATTTACATTGATTTTTTAAAAAAAATTTGTAAATCAACTCATTCCTGATTAAGAAATGAGTTATATGTAGGATATTGGTTCTTTATAGGATATTAAACTAAAGACCATGAAGAATTTTTTTAAATGGATGATGTAACACTCATCTTCTTAAGAACTCTATTCATTGCCCTTGGGCATGTCCTTTTGGAGGGCAGAATTCAGATAAGTTAAGAAAAGAGAGGAAATTTCTTTTGGCATAACCTTGGACAAGCTACTCAGAGTATCCCTTCTACTGCCAAAAAGGAAAAAAAAAGGAACGAAAGAGAGAAAAACAGTTTCTAGGTAAAACATACTTTCTAATGAATTGTTTGACTTGAAAATGAATTTCAGACATCTCTAAAGATTCCTTTGCCCTCATCTCAAAACCCCAAAACTGAAAGTGAGCAGAAAATAGTGTTGTTAAGCAATCAGTAAATGTGGGAATGGCCAAATTGAGCTGGATGAGTTGTATTGCAAGGATGCTGTTGGAAGGAGAGCAGTCATACGCTCTGTTAGACTTCTTGCCTTAGGAAAAGAACAAGAAGAAGTAACAATCACATTTATAGACCCAGCTTTTTGACCTCCTTTGATGTTTTTTGGTGTCTCAGAGTAGGTAGTCAACCACTTGCAGGCTGTTGGATTTTCAGAGAAAAGATCTATTCTTACTTAAAAACCAGTGTTCTGTGTAGAGAAGACAGTCCTCCATTTAGTCTTCAGTGTCCTTGTAAAATATTATCTCTGATATCTCTGTGTCTGACAAATTGTTTTGATTCAAAAACATAGACTGTGAGCTCTGAGTCCTTAGCCACCGCCTCAATGGATACTGTACTTCTTTATGTATTTTTAAGTTTATTTATCTAAATTTGTTTTGTGAAAATTCCAAGCCGATTTAAAAATCGAATAGTGCAGTGAACTTCCATCCAATTACATCCACCTTCAACAACTGTGATGTCATGGTAAATTTTCTTTCGTCATACCCCCATGCCCACCTCTCACCCCCACCCCAAATTATTTTGAAATTAATTCCAGACACAACATCATTTCATCCTGTAATATTTCAGCAGGCATTTTTAAAAAATTAGAACTTTTTTAAATTTAAAAAAATGAATCACATTTAAAAAATAACCACACCTAAAAGTATTTCCTTATTGTTATCAAATATGTTAAATCAATATTCAGATTTTCCCAATTGTCTCAAAAATGTTTAGAATTACTTTTTACTGTTTGAAACAGAATACAAATAAGATCCATACACTGCAGTTGGTTGATACTTCTCTTTTAATGTATAGGTTTCCCCTCTATTTATTTTTCCTTATTTCCTGAGAAAACTGGTTTGTTTGTGTTTGTCCAACTTTCCATAGTTTGTATTTGCTGATGCATTCCTGCGGAACTATTTAACAAGCTCTTCCGTCCTATGCCTTTTCTGTTAATGCTAGGACCTTGACCAGACCATTTGGAGAAGGCTGGGCAAGACTACTGATTCTCTCTCGATTTGAAACGTTAGCAGGTATTGATCATTGCTTAGATCCATTTATTCCTTAGGGTTAAGGAATACCCAGGCTCTGATAGCGTCCTCACACATTTACTCAGATCAATACTGTGCTCAGTTCCTGAGTGGGATTCCGCAGGTCTCGGGAGAGCGTTCTCTGTGTAGCAGCTCTCTGCCACGTGCTCTGACCTTGAACTGTAGCCACCTTATTCCCACATGCCTTCCATTCTGTTTCCTCAACACAGGTGGGGCATTTGTGTCCCTTGAGTTACCCTCCGTGCCACTGCTGTCTCAACCCTCAAGACAGTAAGCTGGGCGATCATAAGATTCACCTCCTTGGCTTCTCATCTCTCAGGGACCACTGTTCTTTGTTGCCTGATGTCCTGTGTCTTAAAAATCATTGTTTCATACATTTTGTCAGAGTTTGGTGGTGGTTGTTTTAGGAAGGGGGGAAAATCTAACCCCTCTTAGTCCATCTTGGCTGGATAGGAAGTCTCTCGGATTATTTCTCAAAAATTCTACCATAGCTTTTTAAGTCAAGCAGTATCTTAACATAAAGCTCAGTATTTAAAACAAACTGAAGAATGTTTTAATTGCTCTGTGTATTTGTGTGTGTGTGTGTGTGTCCTGTGGGGCACTGCTACAGTCTTTAAACTGCCAATGTAACTTACAGGACCTCTTGCTGATATATGCCTTCCCAACTAATTAGGTTTTTTTCCACAAGATGAGTCCTATTTTTATTTCTGCCATTTAGAGACAGTTTTGTGGTTCATTCATTCATTCCTTCAGCAAATATTTTGATTACCTACGACGTGTTGTATAAAGTGTTGGAGATAATAGCGATGAATCACACTACCCTTAAAAATCCTGCCATTTTATTTTCACACTGAAACTTGTACATGAATATTCAAAATGACTCTATTAGTAATAGCCCCAAGCTGGAAATACCCGAATGTCCATAATGGATAAATGGTTAAACAGACTGTGATAGAGCCATAGTGTGGAATACTACTTAGCAATAAAGAGTAATGAACTATTGATGTGGGCAACAGCTTGGGTCAACCTCGAGGAAACTATGCGGAATGAAAAAAATTTATCTTAAATGGGTACATTATTGCTTGTCTCGATTTATACAACATTCATAAAATAACACAATTATAGAGATGGAGGACAGATTTGTGGTTGCCAGGGATGAGAGGGGAGGGGAGGGATTAGGTGTGGACCTGAAAGGGTGGCACTGGGAGTCTGTGGTGATGGTGCAGTTAAGTGTCTTGACTGTGTTAGTGGGTGCTCCGAGCTACACATGTGATAAAGTTGCATACAGCTACACACACACACGCACACACAAATACACAAATAAGTGTATGTATAACTTGTGAAGTCTGAATAAGCTCTGTTTACCAATGTCAGTTACCTGGTTTTGCTATTGTCATGTCACATGTTAACACTGAGAGTGGGAGGAGAGGCTGGGGAAGGTTACACAGCACAGGACATTTCTTTGCACCTTTTTGTGAATTTTTAACTATTTCAAAATAAAATGTTTTTTCTTAAAAATCTGGCACTTCATGGGAGATGGGAGGAATGAAACAGCCCCAGTGCATTATAAT